AAGCCTCCATGTCAAAAGTCCACCTTCCCTCCGTCGACCTCTCAAAAGGAGAACGAACAACGTTGAAATCTCCACCAATGCACCAAGGCAATGACCATCTCCTTCGAATCTCTCCCAACTCCTCCCAAAGCAAATGACGCACACAATCTTCATTAGGACCATAAACACCAAAAAAACCCAACGGAATCCATCCTCCAACAAAGAAAGGACGCAGGAAGCAGAGAAACGCCCCACCCGAGTGTCTTCCTAAGAAACCTAACGGTTATCCCACATAATAAGAATACCACCCGAAGAAGAACCAATCGCATCCAAAGCAATCCACTCCACAAATGTCCTCCCCCCCCCCCCCCCCCCCCCCCCCCAAATAAGTTCCTCACAATCAAATCCGTCATCAATGCAATCTTGGTTCTTGGTTTCTTACAGACAAACCACATGACCACCTTCTTTACGAATCATAGACTTTACAACTTTTCTTCTAACCGGGTCATTGAGACCCCAGACATTCCATGATAGAATTCGTAGCTTCATAAGGAAATAGATGAGAAAGCAATACCACTCCTCCTCCCACTGTCCCTCTCCCTGGACCCTATTCCTCCTTTCATAAGTAACCAAATCAGAAGGACTCTGCACCAGCCTCTCCCCCATCCCATCCCTCCTTTAACTTGGGTTTATATTCTTAAAGAGAGATCTCAAGTATTCTCTATTTTTCAATCCTTTTATGCTGCAATTCAAAATCAGTTTGATGCAAAATTACTTGTTCTTAGAACTGACAATGCCCTTGAATATAAACTTAATGTTTTTCAAAATTTTCTTGAGTTGAGGGGCATTATCCATCAAACATCTTGTGTTGATACCCACCCCTCAACAAAATCAAGTTGTTGAATGGAAGAATGGCCCACTTCTAGCTACTGCTCGTGCCTTAATAATTCAAATGCATGTTCCAAAACATTTTTGGGCAGATGCAGTTCTGGTTGCTACTTATCTTTTAAACCGCATGCCTTCTAAGGTCCTTCAAGGAAAATCACCCTTGCAAATGATGTTTTCTGACAAAAACCCTTTTTCCATTCCTCCAAAGGTGTTTGGGTGTGTCTGTTTTGTTCATAATCTAAGCCCAGGATGAGACAAACTTGATCCTCATGCTCACAAATGTATTTTCTTAGGTTATTCTCGCACTCAAAAGGGATATAAATGTTACAGTCCAACTCTTCGTAAACAATTTGTGTGTGCAGATGTAACTTTCTTTGAGGATGTTCCTTATTATTCTCAGGAAGGCAGTCATCTGGAGGACCCTGTTCTTTAAGAGTTTGTTCTTCCAACTCCAGTTTTTGATTCTGACATCCCACCAGCTCTTCGTGTCTATGCTCGCCACCGAAAAAGAGTAGTTAATCTTGTTCTAATGACTGAAGTAGTAAACCCAGCCTTGTGTTGATACCCACCCCTCAACAAAATCGAGTTGTTGAATGGAAGAATGGCCCACTTCTAGCTACTGCTCGTGCCTTAATAATTCAAATGCATGTTCCAAAACATTTTTGGGCAGATGCAATTCTGGTTGCTACTTATCTTTTAAACCGCATGCCTTCTAAGGTCCTTCAAGGAAAATCACCCTTGCAAATGATGTTTTCTGACAAAAACCCTTTTTCCATTCCTCCAAAGGTGTTTGGGTGTGTCTGTTTTGTTCATAATCTAAGCCCAGGATGAGACAAACTTGATCCTCATGCTCACAAATGTATTTTCTTAGGTTATTCTCGCACTCAAAAGGGATATAAATGTTACAGTCCAACTCTTCGTAAACAATTTGTGTGTGCAGATGTAACTTTCTTTGAGGATGTTCCTTATTATTCTCAGGAAGGCAGTCATCTGGAGGACCCTGTTCTTTAAGAGTTTGTTCTTCCAACTCCAGTTTTTGATTCTGACATCCCATCAGCTCTTCGTGTCTATGCTCGCCACCGAAAAAGAGTAATTAATCTTGTTCTAATGACTGAAGTAGTAAACCCAGCCTTGCCACTTCCACTAGTCGCTTCAACACCTGGAGATTCTTCCATCTCTCTGGACTCTGATCTTGATCAACCTATTACTATTCAGAAAGGTAAATGGTCTTATACCAATCACCCTATCTCTAATTTTGTATCGTATAATAAATTGTTCTCCTCCTTTCAAGCTTTTTCTTTGTCATTATCCTCTATTGCTCTTCCTAAGTCCTACAGGGAGGCACTTTCTCATCCAGGGTGGAGGAAAGCTATGGAAGAAGAAATAAACGTTTTAAAATTTAATCATAATTGGGACCTTGTTCCTAAGCCTGCTGATACTCAGGTTGTTGGTTGTCGTTGGGTTTTTACTGTTAAACAGAAGCCTGATGGTACTGTCGACCATCTCAAAGCTCAACTTGTTGCTAAAGGCTACACTCAGACTTATGGCCTTGAGTATACTGAAACGTTCTCTCCTGTGGCCAAACTGAATTTTGTTCGTGTGATAATCTCTTTTGCAGCTAATCTAGGCAGGCCACTTCATCAACTTGATGTTAAAAATGCCTTTTTGTACGGTGACCTTACTGAGACGGTCTATATGACTCAACCACCTGGGTTTGAGTATAAGGGGGAGTGTGTGTGTCATCTCAAAAAGTCTATCTATGGCCTCAAACAGTCCCCTCGTGAATGGTTTGATAAGTTCAGTACAGCAGTTGTAGCTCATGGTATGACCAGAAGCCAAGCTGACCACTCTCTCTTTTTTAAGAAAATGAAACGTGGTATTGTGATTCTTGTGGTGTATGTAGATGATATCGTTAACACCGGCAATGACAAAGATGGGATACAAGTTCTAATCCATCACTTAAGTTCTAGCTTCCTTACTAAGGATTTAGGCAAACTTCAGTATTTTCTAGGAATTGAGGTAGCTCGGTCGAAGCAAGGCATTAGTCTTTCTCAGCGGAAGTATACTCTTGATCTCTTACAAGATACTGGATATCTTGGTTCGAAACCTATAGCTACACCCATGGAGACTAATGTAAAACTTAAGGTGGATGATGGTGACCCACTCGATGATCCAGAGATGTATCAGAGACTCGTAGGTAAACTTATTTACCTCACAATCACTCGTCTAGACATCTCTTATGCAGTCAGTGTTGTGAGCCAGTTCATAACCAATCCTTAGATATCTCACATGGAGGCAGATGTACGCATCTTAAAGTATCTGAAGGGTGCTCCAGGACGTGGTCTACTTTATCGATCTTCTGGACATCTTCGGATTGAGGGATACACAGATGCAGATTGGGTCGGTTCTCCTTCTGATCGGCAGTCCATCACCGGTTACTGTACCTTCATAGGAGTAAATCTAGTAACTTGGAGGAGTAAGAAACAGTCAATTGTGGCTCATTCCAGTGCTGAAGCAGAGTATCGTGCCGTGGCACACACTGCCTATGAACTTACTTGGTTGAAAACTCTTTTACAGGAACTTGGGATTTCAGTCCAGTACCCAATTCCTCTCTATTATGACAATCAGGCAACTATTCATATTGCTAGCAATCCAGTCTACCATGAGAGGACTAAACATATTGAAGTAAATTGCCATTTCATTCGATCTAAAGTTTATTCAAATGAGATTGTTACACCTTTTGTTCCTTTTGGTAGACAACCGGCAGACATCTTCACTAAGGCGCTTCCCAGGAACTTTATTGATTCCATATGTACCAGACTGGGAGTTATTGACATTTACTTTCCAGCCTGAGGGGGAGTGTTGTACAGTATTGTATAAGTTGTCACACGTGTACAGTTAGTATTGTATGAGTTGTCACCTATCCCTTATTACCATATATAGAATTACCATATACAGGATTTTCTTGTTCTCCACTCACCTACTCCCGTAGCTTCTCCTATATAAACACCATTGTATTATTGTATCACTTACTCAATAACAAATACGTTTTCATATATTATCTCTCTCTCTCTCTTTCAACAAGTATTATAAAATTGATGTAGCCCTTTAGGCTCTTTATGCAGTGGATGTAAACCCTAGTAGCTAAACCAAGTAATATCTATGTGTTCTACTTGTTTTATTTATCTCTTCGTTTCCGTTTTATGCTTTACAACATGGTATTAGCGCCTAATATCTCTTCCTAGGTTCGGACCCCTATTTTGGGATATTCCCTTGGCATCTAAAATGTTGCTAACGGTTTCTCGGTGCTATTTGTGATTTGTTTGGGCTGCTGGTTTGCTCGGAGTAATGTTCTTCGCCTTTGTCATGTCTCCGACAGTTTTTATTGACTTGTTTGGGCTACTGGTGTGTTTGGTAGCATTGTCTTTTTCTTTGCCGTGTCTCCGACAGTTTTTATCAACTTGTTTGGGCTGCTAGCAATAGCATTATCCTCGCTATTGCCGTATCTCCAGCATTTTTTTGTTGACTTGTTTAGATTGTCAATGTGTTCGGTAGCATTGTACTTCGTCTTCTCTCTTCTCTCTTCTCTCTTCATCATTCACACTTGTTGTTACTCGTCATCTCAATGGCAAGTTGGGCATTCATGCTCCAACTTGAGGGGTAGTATTGAAGATTTAATGGAGGAATCAGTGAAGGAAAATCTTTCAGTAATTGATGTTGTTTCCTATTATTGAAGATTTGATGTTACTAGAGGAATCGGTGGAGAAAAATCCTCCTTGTTTCCTATTTTCTAATTCTTTCCATTCTCATAATTTCTTCTCCTATATAAAGGAGACTCCACCATTGTATTGTGCATGAATTGAGAGAGTAGTATAAAAATGATGTAGCCCTTTGGGCTCTTTGTGCCGTGGATGTAGGCCCTAGTGGCTGAACCACGTAATATCTTTGTGTTTTTCTCGTTTAATTTCTCTTCGCATATGTTTTATGCTTTACAACAGTTTTAGACATTTTTTTCCCGTTTTCCTTCTTTCCTATATATACTTGTACAAGATGTAGACATATTGAAGAAATACATAAAAACTCTCTCTAAAATTACTACAGCTCATAGCATGGATTAGATTGAAAACACTCACAGGAATTCTTATAACATCTTCTCTTTTCCACCCCAGAGAATTGTAGACGACAACAACCTACAGAAAACAAGGCATCGTAAGTTTTTTATTTCAAGAAAACTTGTAACTTTCTTACTTACGAAAAAAAAGCATCTGGCAGAGATAAAATTGTTATCGTAACATAGTCCATACCATTTTTTTTCCAAGAGATAAATAAACTTCTGTTGGAGGACAATAACTAATGTTCAGAAGTGGACACTGAGAAAAAAGACAAAAGAAATAACTGAGCTCAACATATTTACATTTTGTGTCACTTTCTTAAAAATTAAAAAAAATTAAATAAATAATGCATTAATCATCCATAGCAAAAGAAAAAATAATGTATCAGCCACATTTGAGACAAAGCAAATAAACTTGAAAATAAACAAGCAAGAAAATGTAAACGCACTCGTAGTCTTAGATGCCATTTCACTGTTAATAAAGAGTGACACCTGCGCTGCGCACTATGTTGGAAATACACTAATAATAATATGCATGATTTCAGTTGAAAATTCAGTTTCATAAATAATTCTTTCATAGATAAGTTGGTAACCCATTTGCCCATTTCGAGAAAGATTCTTTTGCCTTTTCCTCTTTGGTCTGGTATTGCTTGTACTTATAGGCCTCTGAAAGGATCCCCAGTTGGCTAATCTGACTATCCAATGGAATCAATGCAGAAGGATATGATAATTTATTTAGTGAGAAAAATAGTAAATTCAAAAAATAGCCATGATGAGGTGTGCAAACATCGGCAGTACCAATCAGAAGTTACTTTCAAGCCCATAAGCCAATTCAAGTATGACTTATTGTCAGATTTTTCACATCGCTTTTCTAGAGCAACATGAAACATAGATGGTTATTCTGTCTATTCTGAAGACAAAGCAAAAAAAAAACTATTGTAGCATAATCAGATTTTTTGCCTGTTGAAACTTGGTAATTGGGCTCCCACATCCAGATTTTGGTGCTGATTCTACCATACAAGCAAGGGAAGTTGCAACTAACTCCTCAGCCTGTGTGAAATAATATATTAGTAATGATCCATTTTGAGCATAAGAATAAGGAGGTTGACTAATAGGTAAACATCGAGACATGAAAGCTAATCTTCACCTCTTTGTAGCCTATTGAAAGCCTTTTTGCATAATCATCAGCCACATGCTGCTTTTCTGTACCACTAACTGCATCGTGGTGTTGAGCTATTCCCAAAGCATCAGCCAGAGTGTCTGTGGTGGGCCCTGTTATACTCCTCCCTTTGAAAAATTCCAATTGCCTTGCAGCCTAATAATGTGGTAGAATGAGCATCAGAGATTGGTCGAAACAATTTGTTTAACAGTATAATAAAAAACAGTAGCAACACCTACCAAGTAGTAGCCACTCATCATTCTGACATAGCCTTTTAAAGCAGGCCTACTTGTAAAATATCCTGTCCAGTAAGCATTTACACGGTCTGCATATCTGATAAATTCATTCATAACTCCTTAAAGACAAGTCAAGCAAGAAACCGTTAAGGGTGAGTATTTCAACTCTGAAACTTTCAGCATTTTGAACTTACGGGAAGAAGTCATCAGTCTTGAGTGGCCAGGACTCATTTGCTGCATATTTTGCATCAGTGTAAATAGATGGGGTTGAATACAGTGCATTGACACGTCCATCCTACAAGCATAAATAAATACACTTTTATATTAAAACATCACTAACAGCTATGTTTCAGAGGAAACTCCTGTGAAAGAAAGGGAGCAACAAGTTATGGAACAGGATGTTAGTACAAAGCTCATTTAACTGTAATTTTGTTGACATTTATATGCCTTTACCTTTATCACAACAGCATGTTTTCACATTGAAGAAATATACAATTGATATGCTCGATACCAACTAAGATTAGGATTGTTGACCAAGGATCCGATACATCAGACTACGCTATGCACAAAATAGATCAGGGGGTGAATAGATCTTGTTCATTACCAATAACTGATTTTTAAAATCTTTCAGTCACAATTTAAATGAAGAAATATAAATTATTAAACTATAGAGAGAAAAGATAAAATAACCAAGCAATCACACATAGACACACGATCTACATGGAAAACCCCAATTGGAAAAAGAAAAAACCTTGAGATCTAGTTCAGGAAAATCACTTTTAGAAGAAAGATAATACAACCCTAGGTATCAGATTGTAAACCCCATAGAATCACCTAAGTTAACTCTAAACCAGACTCACACCAGACCTCTTCATGCAATTGATGTCCTTGAACTCTGCTGCTGCCATTCAAAGAATCTGCTATCCAGGCAAACCGCTTTTCAACTCATAATTGATCTCCTCGAATAGTCATCCGACCTTTAATTACTCGCATCTAATACAAGATGATGAAAAGAAAAATATGCACTCTATGTGCCTATATGTGTGAGATATAATTTTTGTAATTGGCAAATTTCGATGTCAAAACAAGTCCGATCGAGTTGTAATTCTCAAGTTACCATATCAAGATCGAGATCGGCTGTGGAATTGGAAGGTTGTTCAAATTTGATAATCTTTGATCTACGAAAAATGTATGAACAACACTTTAGGAAGTTGTTTCCCACTTAGGACACTATACCTACATGGTATATTCTTCAAAGTTACCAAAATAGAATTTTTCCAAGTTCTGATCTTTCTTCAGAATTCTGTCAAGTGGGAACCGGTACCAAACTTGGGAACCGGTTCAAGAACCTTTGCTTCGAAGAAACCATTTTGTCCTTTGGGAACCGGTTCCACTTCCTAACTACCGGTTCCACCTGCTGATACAGTTTAGGTAATTGTTTACTATTCTGTCTAAAACTTCCTATTTGGTTTAGAATTCTTCCAAAAGTCCTATGCAAGAAAATTACCTTTTCCTATGCATATCTAGGTCTTTGAAAATTCTATATAAACCTTGATTTTCATCTAGGTTGATACGGCTTTTGCATTACATCTTCAAATTTCTTAAAAACCTATTAGAGAGATATTTTTACAGAAAATCAAAATTGGTTTTTCTGTTTTCTTTCTAGAACATACACATAAACACAAGAGTGAGTTTAGAGTGTTTGTTCAAATTCTGATCGTGATCAAAGTATTATTGTATGTGAAGCGATCAGAGAAAGCAGATCTACTTCTTCCACATCAAATCCAGATTTTGAAAAATAGAGGTGAAGCGATCACACTTTGAAAGGGTCAAAGCATTCGAGGAGTATTGTTTGGTCTACCCTCAATCCTTCTACAGAGATCAAGAATAAGCCTAAGGTCAAGAGTTGTTGGACGGGAAGTCACAAAGCCAGAAGATTGTCAGCGATTGGTGTTTAGTAGAAAGATAGGATGTGAGCCTGAGACAAAGACCATTGTACTTTGATTCAAACATAGTGGATCGGTTTACTTTGGACTGCACAGTCCACGAGGTTTTTCCAGCAAACAGTTGGTCTATTCTACCAATTGGGGTTTCCTCGCTAAAAATCCTTGGTGTCATCTCTAACTTTATTACTTTACTCTATTTTATCTTGCATTAGATTAATTAATTAATTACTAAAATAAGTAAAGTTAGAAAGACACAGATCGGTTTTTAAAATATAAAACTTTCCACACAAGTTATCTTCCACTGCACAACTCACAATATGCTCTCTATAATTCGTTGTATATGTGTATGTATTCTTTCTATAATGTAATATCATATTCTAGAGTGACTATAACCCTATATTTATAGCCAATATAACAGTCATGTATGAAATAGGAAAATAAAACCTTTTAAGATTCTGATTTTTGAGAGTTTCCAAAACTGTTTTATCCCAATCAATCAATTAAAGCAAAGTTTGACCAATCGAACCTACTCCACTAGCCTTCGCGTGACAAGTTCGAATGATTGACCTACCATCCTAGCTTACTAGAGTCCGTTCAAGCTCAAAGTCCATGGCTCCACGGTAATTCTAACTCCAAGTAACTAAACCAAATTTCGAATATAAAATAAAAATTACACACTGGTTTTTGTTATGAAATTTGCCATCACCATGTTTTAATATCCTTGCACATAAAGAGAATAAAATTCAGCAGTATGTTGCATAAGTCAATATAATTGCATCTCAACAAATTGCAGTGTAGCTGTAAATGTAAACTTGAGTACTAAAACTTAAACAGTACCAAGATGGCCAATTAAATGGAAAAGATAACAAAATGCAAGAAGAAGAACACAATCAACTACATATAGGGAAAAAAATTACAATGACTTTGAAGAATACTAACTTGATTAACATAATGAATTAATTTGTCCAAATTCCGGAACCATGTATTAGCATATTGATACTTGAAATCCGTCCCCATGGTCCACATTACATGATTTGTGCGAGTTATATTAGCCTGAAAGAGAAAACATCAATAAAAATGTTGGTGAGCCACAACAGACTTACATTTTGTTCTTTGTAAATCTTTGCTAGACTTCTTTGTTTAATTAGTACGAATGGAAGAAGAGAAAAAACACTTGCTACATCTGACACAGAATGCATTCCAACTGTGAGACTTACGTTAATAAGTTTGAATATTTAATGAGTAAAACAACTGCGCTCAGCTTACCTGGGATAATGCAGCAGCAACAAAATCATTGACACGCTCTTGGACATTGTAATCGAACAAATTGATGTTATCCTTCAATTCATAAAACAAATATATACATCAGCATGTGCACAAGTAAATGTTCAAGACCCTATCCACATTCTGTTTCAAGGATTTACCTGGACAATGGGGGAATCAGAATCATCATTAACTTCGAAGTTAAAACCACTTGGAGGATCATAATTCTCGGGGAATGCACCAGCGAAAATCTAGAAAGGATGAATAACTCAATGAGAGAATTCATTTTTTAGTTCCTAACACAAGGCAATTAACGAGACCAAGGTAAATCAATCAACAAATATCTTTATAATATCTTTATCAGCCCTGTTACAGTATCAGAAACAAATATTAACCAATTTGAATCACTCACCTGTGCAGAAGAACCAAGACTCTTAGAGCCTCGCCAAATGAACTCAAGACTCTTCTCATTTTTCCGCTTGGCTCTATCTTGGTAGTCAATTCGCCCAAAGAAAAAAGAGTCAAAACCAACCTAAACAAAGAAACGGGTTTGAGTTCAATTAATTCAGAAATGCAAGTAAATAGGGACCTTATGTTGAAAAATCCACATTTTATCAAGTTAGTATAATATTCAACACAACTTTATTCTTCAAGTAGCAAACATGGCTTACTGATAAAGTAAAGGCAAAAGAATAAGTCAGTAAAATTGTTGAGAAGTATAATAAAGGGAAGCCCTACCTCTGCCCCCAACAGATAAGCTTGCACTGCAGAATGTCCAAAGGGATCGATTTGCCAACCTATTCTCGGTGTCACATTGAACTGCTCCTTTATAAATTGATGTCCGAATGTTGTCTGATCTATCATGTCTATATAATGTGATGCTGCCTCCTCGTGCATGCACCAACCCCCGTTTCTACATACAAAGGAAAAATAAAATGAAAATCCACAATCTATATAAAAAAATTTGCTCCATTTCTTTGAGACATTGATCAAATTTTCCATCTTCATTGATAGTAAAATTGACAAAATAGATGGTAAGAGCAAGGAAATGGAGGGGAGACACGTCATTAATTCCCTGAGCCCAATGTCATACAATCATATTTTCGGTTATTTGTTTTCAAGTTTCCATAAAGACATTAAACGAGTTTATGTGATTCAATACATGAGCTCTAATTGACCCGAACTGACAAACTTCTGGACTGTGGCCTGTACTGCCTCACTCTGGTCTCTCCACCAGCGCTGGAAAAATGCCTGAATTATCGAACAAAAGCACCCATATCAGTTCCACTCCTCCAATTTATGCATCTCTATTTGTACGCTCTGCCCACATGGTTATGGGTGCATGCGTGTGTCTGTGTGAATCAATTATGGGCACATATGTGTTTATATATGTGTGTTTGCAAGTGTGTATGATTGAAATGTAGAGAAACCGTTGCCTGTTCAACATAAATGAATTTCCGATTCTTGTCAGCCAACAACGCAGGAACTAATGAATCTAATACATTTTGAACACAAGCCCCCTGCAGAACAAGTAAAATCATTGACACCCATAAACAAAAATCAAATAATAAAGCAAAGTAAAAATTTGAGATACTGATGTAATATATATATACACACAGAGACACATATATATAGAGAGAGGGGGGACCTGGATGGAGTTGTTGGAACCAACATAGTACTGATCAATAGTCTTCAACCATCCAACATCATCGTGCGAGTGAGGAACCAAATGAACATTGAGTTTCCCGGGAACAATGCCCTGCGAAGTGTTATACACCATATACTTGGATTGGGCGCTTAGAATTCCGGCGAATATAATCAACAAAGTCAGTGTTATCGCCATGGATGAAGTAGGTTTCCAGTGGACGTCCAAGCTCTGAAGACTTCAAATTTGATAAAGAACCATTTGGAAACGATTTAATACTTTTTTTTTTTGTCTTTAAGCTAGTGTCTGGTTTTGATCAATCAATTTAGGTGAAAGAAACAAGTGGCAATCGATCAAATATGGATCTAAAGAAATCAATTGGCGATTTGGGGATAGGGTTTGATTTCGATCGTTTATCAACCGTGATTGACCTAAATACAGACAAACAAGTTTGCTCTACCTTTCAGTCCTTTCACTCCCTTCACTCTGAGTGTTTGACTGAGTGCGTGCTTATCCATATTTCAAAGTTCCGTACAATAATTCCTTGGCAGAAAAATCTTGAAAATTAGTTTAAACAGATTCTCCAAGTTTACCTGTCGGTCCCCGTTTACTGGATTTAGTAACTTTCTGTGCTGCATTTATTAGACTAGACACGTTCGGGACAATTCATTTCAGTGGAGATTTCCGTTAACAAGTGACACAAAGTACAACATGCCCCATCATGGAAGACAATCCCCCTGCTCAGAATCCTCCAAACACAGAATGGATCACTATTAGAAGGAAGAATGGAATGAAGGTCTGCCCCAAGAGCACAGAAAAACATCTTGCCCTACAATCTGCAATTCCTTCTCACCTCTCTCCCGTTCTCACTAGAACTCGATTATTTCACCCTCATCTCCAACCTCACCCTCTACAAACCTCACAGTAACAGTCAACTCACCCACCACATCACAGAATACCCAATCTACCAACCCTCTTATTCACATACCATCTCCTTTATGTATCAAGAAGCTCACTTTCACAGACTCTCCATCCTCCACCGTCCCATCCCAAGAATGCTCTTCTCCATTTACATCTGATGAATTGGCCATACCTTCTTCACTGCCACATTGCAAGAGGAAGAGCAAGAACAGAAGTGATTCTCATCAGCAGCATTCCACCACTCCAACTCCGGTCATTGAACATCCCCCACATGATTCCTCACTATTGCACTACCCTCACTGACCCTGCAACAATGGCATCCCCTTCAGGAAAACCATTTGTCAAGTTGACTGCTAGAAGCTTAAAGAAGGCTGCTAGAGGGAGCAAAAGCTACAGCCCATAGTTGATATCTTCAGACCCTACAATGGGCCACAGTTGGGAAGAAATGATTCCGTGGATCAGCGATCGATGGAGGTCAAGCTCTCCAATCAATTTTCTCAGGAAAATTTGCATCTCAGCGTTGGTGTACCACACCTGGGAAGAAAGGAACAATCGCATTTTCAGAGGGAATTCATCTTCACGTTTTAGAAAAAGTATGCAATTCTATCACTTATCTCCTCTAACTGGGTTGTCTAAGGGATTGCTCGGTCTCTAGATCGATTCTGAGCAGCTGGAACCTCTCTCCTTCTTCTTGCAGACCGCCTCCGTGACCACCGGACCGAGAGAAGGAGACTCTCTCCGTCGCCATTAGGGTTTGCTCACCGAAATTGTTCTTAATAACTTGAATTAACGGCTACAAACCGCTAACTGAAGTTATTGATTTGTTCATTGGGGATGGGCCTTAGGTTTTGGGTTGGCCCTCTGTGGCTTCTTTGGGTTTGGGGTTAGCCTATGGGCTTTGCCTGCCCTTATATGGGCTGTTTTGGCCCAGGGCCTTTCACGTATCTTTTTCCCATTTTATACATTTTGCTTAAAATTTCAAAAAAATAAAAATAAAATTTAAAAAAAAAAAAAGAAGGGAAAGGATAATAAAAAAAAGTGCAGGATTCTTAGTAAGGCCACCACAATTTATGTTACATTTGGTACTATTATTATTGGATGTTAGGATATTGAGTTGTAGACCCTCATTTTGTCTGGCTAGGATTGTCTGCTGTGGGCTTCCTGCTGTTGCCAAAAATGACGGAATTTTGTTTATGTTTTACTTCCGTTTTTTATTATTATATTATTATTTTGTAATATAATTCTAATATTATATTCATTATTATACCGTATAGGTCTAATATGATAATATATGTTACACAGTATAATTTCAATATTAAATGGTTATAATTTTTTGCCCAATCAAATCAGATCAACTTTACAGCTGCCCATGACTCTCTCTTTCTTATCCATTCTCTTTCATCATGTGTTTGACAAGGGATAAAAATCCTCTCCTGCACAACATGACATATGTCCTGGCCAGTGAGTGACGTATGATCCTAGTAAAGCCACGTTGTATAAGTAGGGATGAATTAAAATTTATTACTACATACTGGAACGCTTTTTTTTTTTTTCCTTTCCTCTCAAAACCCTAAATTTTTAGCATTATCTTATCAAAATCTCTGGTTTAGTGTCGATTGATTCGGAGTATATGTGTTTGAATCCTTTGTTGTTAGTATTATATCTCTGGTTTTGCTATTGATTGGTGAGAAGATCTCCATGGTTCTCAAATTGAATAGCTAGATAACTATGGTTTTGCAATTAATTGGTGGAAAGATGATCTTCACGGTTCTGAAATTTGATAACTTCATTCGAACACGACAAAACCTTTTATACATACACACACATATATATACTAGAAAAAGGCACATGCGATACACGTGGTGAATATTTTGTAACTTATAGAATTTTTGTTTTTATATATTTTTTTTTCTAATTGTTGATTTAAAGCTTGCAACAATAAACGTTACAAATAAATTATAATTTTTTGTAACTCTTTTTATATTGATTAATAAATATATATTTTATATTAATAATAAATACTAAAATATTTTGAAATTGGTGAAAGAGTTTAAGTTTCGTAAATTAATAAATTCTTTTACGTTCTTATAATAATACTGAAATATGTATATTTTATTTTAATAATGAAATATTTGAGTTTTGCAAATTAACAAATTCTTTTAGGTAATTTGAATTTTATTAGGTAATTTGTAATTTGAATTTTATTAGGTAATTTGAAATTTAGTATAATTTTTAATTTACAATAGAAATTCAATTATATTAATTTTTAATTAAATTTTAAAATAGAAATTCAATTACACTAATCATACAATAGATTAAAATTGATGTAAAAATTTATTATATGGAGTTTGTGATTTTTGGAAGACCCTAGGTTATATTTTATTTTCTTTAAATAGGTAATTTGTGGTAGAGCTTTATAGAAATTATTTTATTTTATTTAGATATATCTTTGTAAAATTAGATTTTCTTTTATTAAAAAACTCATAATAAATAGATAAATACAAGGGTTATATACTTATATGTGATAGAGTTCTCTTTTTATATTAATTAATGAATATTTTTTATATTAAAAAATAAATACTGAAATGTTCAAATTCTTTAACATTTATATTTTATTTATATGTATTATTATATTATTATATATTTTCTTTAAATATATCCTTGTCTAATGTGATACAGTTATAGAAATTGTTTTATTTTCTTTAAATATATCCTTATTTAATTTGATTTCCTTTTATTAGAAAACTCATAATAAATAGATAAATACAGGTTATATCTGATAGAGTTTTAAAGAAAATAAAATAGTTAATTTGTGGTAAAGTTTTGGTAATTTGTGTTAGAGTTTTATAAAAACTCTTTAAATATATCATTGTCTAATGTGATAGAGTTTCATTGCAAATAAAATAGGTAATTTGTGGTAGAATTTTATATAAATTATTTATTTTCTTTAAATATATATATCCTTGTCTAATTAGATTTTCTTTTATTAAAAAACTCATAATAAAAAATAATTTGTGGTAGAGTTTTAGAAAAATTATTATTTTTTATTTCAATTATTAAATATTTTTTATATTAATAATTCTTGTCTAGTTATATTATATTTTATTAAAACACTTATAATAAATACATAAATAAGTAATTTGTATTAGAGTTTTATAAAAACTCTTTTAAAAAAATATTTTATTTTCTTTAAATATATCGTTGTCTAATTAGATTTTCTTCATTAAAAAACTTATAATAAATAGATAAAAACAAGTCATATGTGATAGAGTTTTAAATAAAATAAAGTAGATAATTTGTGGTACAGATTTATAGAAATTATTTTATTTTCTAAAAATCTATTTATAATAAATAAATAAATAAGTAATTTGTGTTACAGTTTAATAAGAACTCTTTAAAAAACACTTTTTATATCAATTAATAAATATTTTTTTATATTAATAACTCTTCTCTAATTAGATTTTCTTTTATTAAAAAACTCATAATAAATAGATAAATAGATAATTTGTATTAGAATTTTATAGAAACTCTTTTCAAACCTCTTTTTATATTAATTAATAAATAATATTTTATCTTAATAATGCTTGTCTAATTAAATTTCCTTTTATTAAAAAATTCATAATAAATAGATAAATAGGTAATTTGTGTTAGAGTTTTATGGAAACTCTTTTAAAACCTCTTTTTAAATCAATTGATAAATAATTTTTTATATTAATAATACTTGTCTAATTAGTTTTCCTTTTATTAAAAAACTCTTAATAAATATATAAATAGGAAATTTGTGTTAAAATTCTATAGAAACTCATTAAATATTATATCTTTGTCTAGTGTGATAGAGTTTTATTGAAAATAAAATATGTGATTTGTGATAGAGTTTTATAAAATTTATTTTATTTTCTTTAAATATATCATTATCTAATTAGATTTAATTTTATTAAAAAAAAACTCATAAAAAAAGTTAATTTGTGATAGAGTTTTAAAAAAATTATTTTATTTTATATATCAATTAATACATATTTTTTATATTAATAATTCTTGTCTAATTAGATTTTCTTTTATTAAAAAATTCATAATAATAAATAGATAAATAGGTTAACTTAAATTTTATTAGATAGATTTTAGAGTTTGATAGACTTTTTTTTATTTTTATAAAAACTCTTTGCATATCAATTAATAAATATTTTTTTTATATATAAATAGATACTTAAATACTGAAACTCTTTGCACATGTAATAATACTATAGATAAAAACTTTTTTTTATATCAATTAATCAATATTTTTTTTATATAAATAAATAAATACTGAAACACCTTGACAGAATTTCTGTATTTTACTCTAAAAATTAGATTTTCTTTTATTAAAAAATTCAGAATAATAAATAGGTTAATTTGAATTTTATTAGGTAGATTTTAGAATTTTATAGGTTTTTTTTTTTTTTGTTTTATAAAAACTCTTTTCATATTAATTAATAATTTTTTTATATAAATAAATAAATACTAAAATTCTTTTCACATTTAATAAATATTTTTTAAATAAATAAATAAATACTAAAA